GGCTGGGGCCGGGCCGGGCCTGACAGCACTGCGTCCTGTAGGCTGTACTGCCTGAAGATCCATGGTCTATCCTCGCTCTGGCGTCTGTTCCGGGGGAAGAAGTGGAACGTTCTGCGCCAGCGCGTGGACTCCTGTTCCTATGACCTGGACCAGGTATGAGGCAGGGTTCCTGGCTGGAGGGGCTGCCTGCCCCCGGCCTGCGTCCACCGGGCCAGCGCGGCTACTTGGGCACCACAAGGGGGCAGCCTGCTCCGTCCTGCAGCTCAGGCCCGCACAGGCCCTGGGATAGGTGCCGAGTCTGCGGTGTGGGCTGTACGTGGGGCTCTGAAGCGGTGCAGAGCTTCCCTGGGCCACAAAGACAAGACAGACACAGCCCTGAAGGTGATGCTAGCACAGGGCCTAGACGTGCCCTGGGTCAGAGACTGGGGTGACCCAGGTACAGGCCCTAGTGGTGCCCAGACTTAAGAGGCTGGCTCTGGCTGTCCCATCTCCTGCTCACACCTGACAGCCCCTGGCCTGGATGCTGCCATCCAGCGTGTGTTCTTGGTGACTGTGTGGCCACGCACCCTCTTGGTTGGTCTGGCCCCCACCTGTCTCCCCTGCGAGTCCCCCAGTCCATGGGGTGGGTGGACACAGCCCTCCTGCTACTGGGACTGCTTCTGAGCAGGCTGTCCCGAGTTCCCTCAGGAAGCCGCAGAGTCCCGACTGCAGCTCCGGGATGGGGGAGGGCGCAGCGCTGGGCCGTCCCTGGGCGCGGGGTCCTGCTGATGCCCGGCGTGCCGGCCCCTCCCCACAGCTGTTCATCGGGACTCTGCTCTTCACCATCCTGCTCTTCCTCCTGCCAACCACGGCCCTGTACTACCTGGTATTCACCCTGGTGAGCTGAGCACCCCCAGGCCTGGGCACTGGCTGTGGCCACTGGGCTTGGCTGCAGTGCTCTGTGTGGTTCCTGCCAGCACTGCCTGGGAGCTGTCAGCTGTGGGGCGGGCTGTCTCCTGCTGCAGGCCACGTGGGTGGCCTTTCAGGACCCTCTGGGCAGTGTGTGCTGGCCCCTGGAGCAGGCAGGGACCTAGCCTGGTCGGGAAGACCCCCTCACTGCCCTGAAACACACAGCTGGGTGCTTGGTGGGAGGACCCACGGCAGGTGGGGTCACACAGGACGCCTTCCCTGGTGCCTGGCACTGGGGCAGACAGTGGGAGGTGAGCAGAACCACCTCCAGCACCTGGCTGATCCCCAGGCCTTGATCCCCTCTGCGTGTAAGGCTGTGGGGAGGCACCTCTGACCTGGTGGGAGGGCCGACTGCTCCACCTCCAGCTTTGCTCCAGGGCAAGGCCCAATGGCAGGCTCTGTGCCCTGCTCAGGGTGTGGTCCCTGCTCTCCCCAGGGCCCTGCAGCCTCTGGGCCCCCTTCATCATGGCGCAGGATGGGGTCGGGCTGCTCTGCCCCCAGGCACGTCTGGCCAGGCCAGTCCTAAGCGCTCCTCTGCCACAGCTCCGGCTCCTGGTGGTCGCTGTGCAGGGCCTGATCCATCTGCTCGTGGACCTCATCAACTCCCTGCCGCTGTACTCACTGGGTCTTCGGCTCTGCCGGCCCTACAGGCTGGCGGGTAAGTGCTGCGTACTGGACAGCTGTCCCTGGGCGGGTGGAGGGGAACCACACCTGTGGGCCCTGCAGAAGCAAGGACAGCACAGGCCGCTGTGCCTCCGGCCTGGAAGCCGTGGTAGACATGAGCAAGTGGGCAGGGAGGACAGGGCCTCCCAGTCCCAGAGGTCTGCAGGACCAGCTGCCTCCAGGAGGTGGAGAGAGAGACTCATCTGCCGGCGCAGGGTCAGACACCGGGCGATCCGACGCCACAGGCCTTTGTTCTTCTGCCTTGGGATTTTCTGGGCTTGGGAGCCTGAACTGCAGGCCAGGGGTGTGGTGGGTCCTGAGTCGGCCAATCCCAGCAAACTTAGAGGCACTAAGAGCCAGCAAGGCGGCCACCATCCAGCAAGTACCCTGTCCGCTCTGCCGGAAAACCCTGTCCACTCAACAGCACAGCCTGCGCCTGTCCCTCACTGGGGCTCTTCCCTGCTTGCCGGACACTTGGCTTCTTTCAGTGGAGCTCTGCAGGAGGCTTTTTTTTTTTTTTTTT